ATGTGTATTTACTTCTATTCGATACATAATGAACGTTATATGAAATAAAAAATAAAATAAAATTTATTATATTCATGTATTATATATTTTCATGCTATTTGTTGATGGTGAATTTTGCCAACAAAATTACGAAACTGTAATATGCTATTTCAAGGTTGAGGTTTGACATTTGAAAAAACCGACAAGAAAATTAAGACAATAAAACAATCAACGAATTGGGTACTTGCATTAATACGCTTATATAGATCTCATCGAAAATATATCTAATCAATCTACGGTCACAATAGTTTTATTTAAGTCAATTTATAGTTAATGAATACTAGTCGCTGAGTAAACAAAAATTGCTTATTCTTTTATATATATATAAGAGTTGCTCTATGTATTATAACTTATTGATTAATAGCCTTCAATTTATAAATTTTATCAAAATAAACACAATTCGTTCATCGCATAAGTTACGTACTAGTGAACTCATATAAGATCCAAAATTATTGTTTGGACAATGCAAATTATAATTTCAAGATAAAATTATTACACAAAAGAAACATTAATTTATGATTCAATTTTTTTGTTATTATTTTTAATTTGAAATACAAATTTCTTTAACTAGCATCCATGTAATACACAAATATTATACTAGTAATTAAATAATATCAATCAATCATCATCACACATCACATCAACTTAAAAGCTTATATCAATTAATTTGTAGAAATTATATTATTTATAAGCTTATAGAATTCTATAAATGTATATGATCATTTTAATTTTTCATTTTTTTGTTCATATTAATTTCTTTAATTCACTTTTTCTAATGAGTTAATTAGTACCATTTGAATGTTTAGATACATTATATATTCCATGATTACCAAGTGGTATAACTTAAATTATGATACGTGACTATTTTATTTACTTATTTTTATTTATAATATAATATATGTATAAATTATAGTTTTTTAAAACTTGAATAGTTTTGTAATGTACACAGATATTTCTAAGGTGAAATTTATAATTTTGAATTGTACCCGATAATCAAACATTAATTTTAATAATATAGTTTTTCATGTTTCAATAGTACTATCATTAAAAATGATATATTCAATAGAAATTTACCTTTTTATAGTTAAGTTAACTACATATTAGAAAATTTTATTAATATTTTAAATTATTCCTTATGTTAGTATGATCCAAACATAGTTATTATAATGACAACCATAAATGATAATATATATTTAATAAAATTATTGTGTCAATAAATTACTATGAAATTAATATAAAGATCTTATTGAAAATATATCTAATCAATCCACGGTCAAAATAACTTTTTTAAGTCAATTTATAGTTAACGAATATTAGCCATTGAGTACATAAAATTAATATGATTAACAATATAAGTCAACCGACGAATTTGATACGTACATTAATATGATTATACTAGGATTTATTAAAAATTGTCTCCTAATTTAAGTTACCCGTCTTTGTCAACCAAATAATTAAAACGAGTGCCATATTTCGGAGAGCAAATGAATAGGCAGCAATAACCCCTTTTACGAAAATTAGGGCAATATATGAGATATCTCTTAATTTCACCTAGCATATTCAACTTCTTCGACTTCCATAGTTCCATTGATGAACTCAAAGCTTGTCAGGAAATCGGACAGGAAAGTGGGCTACACCCGAAGCTCTGGCTGCATACACTACAACAAACATGCGTAGTAGGAACAATTAATTATTATTGTGACCTATATTGACATTCATCCAACTCAAAGAAACTGAGATAGCAAAATTATGCTAAAATATTTGATATACCACACGAGTTTTGTAGATTCAACCAAAACATTACATGTACAATAGCCAAACAAATAATTGTCTAATTGGTCCCTTTTCGAAAAAAAAAAAGGAAGAAAAATACTAAGTAGCCAAAATGAAGCACAATAAGGCTACATTTTAATTTTTAAACATGAAGATTAAGTCTGCTCATCTATTCGCAAGCCGGAAGGGCATCATTTTCCTCCTACTTATTCATCTTCCACATCATGCCAAGTCCCAACTTGTGCCTTGAGCCAAGCAATTGTTTCGGACATCTTGCAAGCTAGAATACTAAAAATAATGAAGATTACATTATGACTAATTTACAAAATTATAACATGAGAAAAACAAATATAACATTAGAATGAATAAAAAAATAAAAGATAAACATAATCTTCTAAGTTCCACCTCACTTTGATAGATAGTATGGAGTCTAAATAAAGCATGCATTGTAAAGCTGTACAACGAAGTTCATATTTTAAGTTCATTTTCAAAATTGAGGCATGCTGTGATTATTAAAACAGAGAGTACTCCACATTGTACAACTGAGCCCTACATTTGTAGTGTAACCGAAAACATCTTGTTTTTCGCTTTGATAATTGTAGAACATCAATGTACCTTTTGTAATTCGGTAAAAACCTTATAATAATTTTTGTTAACCTTTTAATTTTCTCACTCTAAAAAAAATCGTAATTCAGCATCTTTGTCAGCGGAAGAGTACTAAGAAACATACCACCACAACTAAAACATTGTTGAGAAATTTAAATTGAAACAAATATGCAACATCTATAATAAAATAATATATTGTCTAGCAAACAATGATCTCCCATTTAAACCAAAGCAAGAATTACTGATTGATCTCCACATGAACACTCGTCTTAGTTGGCAGGAACTTTGCTGTGCACACTACACATAACAGATTCGATGAAGTATACAGAACCAAAGGAGTGCACAGCAACAAAGACATATAATGTTTAAATTTCGAACGGCCCAAATGAGAGAAAAGTAAACAAGGTTTCAAGCAAAGTATATAGGTTCTCAATGTGAATGTATAACCAAAATTTCCAAGGTTCAACAGCCAATACAAAAATATTCCCAAACCAACCAACTTCATTTATAAACCGAAAAAATAAGAAGGAAAAAGGGGGGAAAGGAACTGATTCACCTAATAAGCACCCATGTATGTATACTATATGCTTCTATTAATTATTAATAACTGCAAAATGACTGTACCTGTTAGATAATTGAACCTAAACTAAACTGACATCAATAAAAACAAATGAAGTGAACATACATGTGGTAAAATGGCAAGTTGAAGTGGTAGTTCAGTAGATCCAAACAGACTAATAGCAGATGTAATTGTACGAGCAATCTCTTCCCTAACTCGCCAGCTTCTGTGTGCCCAAGTATGAGATCCTGCTCTTTCAACAATAATAGTCGGTGAAGACACCTACTGGAAAGACAATATTCTCAATTCTGAGAATGAATCTCATAAAATTTTTTCAAGAATGCATTTATATTATTAAAGAGCCTAACGCAGGCTAGTTACATAACGTTGAGACTACTGGACTGCCAATGAATTAGAAACTGAAAAAATTCAGTTATTAACCGTCCGGTCAACAATTTTGGCGGCACAGCTCCAAGTCTCGGCCGTTCCCGGTGGCCTCATAAGATCACAAGAACATCAAAATTGTCCCTAACAAACAAGTATAAACCAGGTCCAAGCTCCAATTTTTCCCCTCTTTTCTCCATGTCATCTTCACCACGTGACAGACAATCACTCGTCAGTTCACTTCATCCAAACACTAACCAACTAAAAAACAAAAATTGAGAATCGCCTGAAACCATAGCTATTATGTAAAATCACAACTAACCGCACAAGGATTTGCACAAACAACAACTTAAAAGCTCAATAAATAAATAAATAAAAAGGAAAGCGCATAGTCAATAAGTTGTCGGCACAGAGTATGTCAAAAGAGACCTTATCTTTAAGGGAGACAGCGGCTCTGAGAAAAGCATCAGCCGGTCGCGAAAGGTCGGAGGTCGCCGGATTACAGCCAGATCAGAGAATTTTGAGCCGCTCATCTCCATCTTCATGGCCGTTGTTCATGTTGGTACTGCCCTTCCTGCCGAACACCCGATTGTTGCCAATTTTTTCGGCTAACTCGAGCTCCCGCCAGAGCTTCCTGCCGATTTCCAACTCGTCTACGGCGGCCTACGAAATCCCTATGTTGGGCACGAATTCGCTATAACGGCAGTTAGATTCAACAGGGAGAGCGGCGATTGGAAGATTTCTCCGATTTTTTTTTGCGGCGATCGATCCAGGAGGTTCAACATGGGTAATTAGGGCATGATAAAATAATGAGAATCGTCCTGTCGAGAACAAAAAAGAAGAAGAGAAATTTGAGTAAATAAATTGAAATGCAATTTAAGAATATCTTGTGCTTTAATTGAGATATGTAATTATTTATAGTGTGAATGTTAAGAATGAAATATTCAAAGATCTTTTATGTAAATTTATTAAAAGTTGTTTTAAGTAAGGGTATTTTAGTATCTACATATATCATTAGAGACACTTGGCATTTATTTGAGACATACCTGTTGTTATGCATGTACGAGGCATGTACGAGGGGTACCTAACGGTAGAATGACCCAAGATTGAATCAAAGTCTAAAACTTTACTGCCTGATGACCGTCAATTTCCTATAAATGATAAGACCTAATGAAAATCGTGTATTAGGTATAGGGAGGCCGGCTGGTCAAATGGATCCGAAAGCATTTTTACTCCAAAAGTTCAATGCCAGTGCTCGAGAGCGGGTATACCCCTACTTAAAGTTTCGTGAAATAAAATGCCAAGTCCTTTTTTTCTGGCAAAGTTGCAATTTTAGTCCTGGTGGTTTGATCTAGTGGCATTTTTAATCCTAAGAATTGAACATTTTTGCTATTTGGTCCTATAATTTTAAAATTCAATGCAATTTCAGTCCTTTGAAACTAAAAATATAACAAAATTTAAAATTACAGGACTTAAGGGCATGATTGTTTACAAACTAGAATGCAAATTTACTAGTTTTTAACTAGTAAAGTGGAGGGGTAAACTAGTTTCTTTACTAGAATGGGTTCTTCTTGGCCCACGTGCCTTCCCCCCTTTTGTCACACTTCCTGACAGACGCTACAGTGTTTGGTCGGGCAACTGGTTGCATTTGGTGATCACATATTTAAAAAACAAAAAAAAAAAAAAAATGAAGAATGAGGCTTCCATTTCCATGACGTGCAGGTAGGGCAATTTTTTGGATGCCTCCATGTTATCAGTTTGCTGAATAGATGGTCAATCCACTTTTTTGACCTTATTTTATCTTCAGTCTTAATGCTAAAAAAAAAAACCCAAAAAAAACGTTTATCACAAAGGTATTTTCTTCATAATAATACTTTCAATTTGTAGTAATAACTAGTACGTCAGTAGCCCGTTGCGCGGCCTAATATTAAAAATGATGTTAATGAATTATAATTTAATAAAAGACTATTTTAAAAAACATCTAATGAGATAATAATAAAAATTTTATTAATACATTAATAGTAGATGAAGTGTGTTCATTATCACCAACTATAATAATAATTAGACAATATAAATTCGTGACTTTATAAAAATAACAACATATAATAGCTTCTAACTAAAAAATACAATATATATTTTCTTAAAATTTTTGAAATTAAATTCATAAGCTTACAAAAATATGTGACCTACCATTCAAAAAAATTAACAATATTTATTTCAGGGTAATATATGTAGTTGAGGCATTTATTTTAGCAAGGGAAGTTGGAGTGCAAATTCCAATACAATCATGAATACAAAATAATTATTTCTGTGTAACATTTTTTTTTATTGTTAAATCATGCATTGAAATTAATAAATTTATTTTAATGTATTAAATTTAATTTTGGAGGGAAAAAACTTTTCCCCAAGATATAAAATGGTATAATGTTAGATTAATAAGAAATGATTATACATTTTCTTAACGTGTACGTAAATTCCATCATAATAGAGTATATTTGTCAAATGTAATATGGTTATATTGTATTATATGTAACAAAAAAGTCTTTTTCTTATTGTTTTAATGATGTATGATGCATAAATGTTGACAAAATTTAATTCAATCTATTAAATGAAGTTTCGGAGGGAGAATAACTTTTTTTCAGCTGCTCCGCTTTAATATGTATATAGATGACAATAATATTTTCTTGACAGAAGCAATATTAATTATCATTTCACAAATACTTTTTTGTTTGGAATATAAAATAGCAGTACATACACCCATAAAGATTACAAATGTTCGACAATGCAAGAAAAGTCTTTATTCTTAGAAGTACATATGCGACAAGAATCTTCAATTTCCTCTCCTTCTTCGTTGTGCTGCCATACGTCTTTCTTCGGCCCAGTACTCGCGAATAACTTGGTCAAGTTTGCGAAGGTTACGTTCATCTCTCGCCCTCATTTCACCAGGATATGGGTCAAGCCCTAGTGGCTCGAAAATTATCTTCAAGGTTTCCCACAGAGGCTCAGGATTGTTGCTACAATAATGTTCTGCTAATGCCCAAACCTGAGAGAATATGATGTACTCAGAATTACAATATTATTACATAACAAATGGAGTTAAGACAATGTTCGTAATAGAACATATTTATTTAACCAAATGAACAAATAAGGGGAAAAAAAAAGGTTAAAATTTGTACCTCAAGTGCTTCCTCACGATCATCCTCGTGAAGGTAAACGGTCTTCGCGTGTATGTCGAAAACACCTAATGGAAAATCAAAAAAATATTTAAATGTTCGATACCTTTCTTTCAATACCATGAATGTGGTATAGCATTCTTCCAAAGTTAAATTATAGCTTATTTCATCCAAACAACTTCGGTATATTCTATCAAACGCCATTAAAATGTCAAATTCGGAGTTCAACCCTTCTGACTGGATGTAATGTAGAAGGATTGAACAAAAAGACTCCTCAACTGGTGGAAGCCATTTATTTGAAAACCCTTCTCGTATATATTGGAAGTGTTCTTCCTTTGTTTTTGGCAACGATAAACCCCACATGATTGAACAAAAACACAATAAAAATAGATGTTTTGAGTTAAAGATAATTCAAGAGACGCACTTATAGGGAATTACATGAATGTATATATATAGGCAAATTGTGTTAGTGGTAATTGAATTGGATATAAATGTAATAGTGCGTACTGTCCATCGTTACGGTACAATTACATCTGCATGTTGTTTTTAAGTTGTCGTGTGGTACAAATATGGACAAAGAAATCTGTACACCTTGTTGCAGACCACAACATTAGCTACATTCACAAATAGACAAACTTTGCCCATGCCTTCCTACGGTTGATTTTTACAACTCATTTCCATTTTTGGTATTAAAAACCGTGCCTCATGCTACAGGTTGTTTTTTACAATTACAGGTTGTTTTTTCCAATTTATTTTATAGGCAATACAAACTTTGCCCATGCTCGTACAGGTTGATTTTTAAAATTACAACTCATTTCTATTTTTCCTTTGAAAATCCTTGGGCCATGCTATTGTCATACAGATTATTTTTTTTCTTTCCACTTCAATATTCTTTATATGCATTGCAATAACTTTTCTAACTCATAATATGTTTATAATATTATTATATCCTCTTCAAATTCATTGATTTTTTACACTTGTAAATAACAACCATTTATAAATGTGAATATATATGTTGATGTACATGACGTATATGAATTATATATACATTTTTTTAACACAATACTGTTGTATGTCTGGATAATTGCAGAAATGGAGTATCGTTAAAATCCGTTGGTTGAACGTGCAAAATAATTTGCAGATATAATTTGCATTAAAACACCGGTAAACTCCATAGGAAATAGGTACACTGGAAAAATAACATACGCGACAAATAAAAGTTACTTGTTATAAAATATTTTTCAATACATCATGATGAATTTCAAAAGTGCTACAATAATTAATAACCCGACGACCACAAAAAAACTTCTAACGATATCTGCGGTCGCAATTTCAGAGACTGACTGTGGGTCATTGTTCGTTGGCGCATGTGACGTGGTTGAGAAGTTGGACCCTCGAGTCGTATGACTGCTACCTTCTGCAGTGGATTGCGTATTACAATATGTTTGAGCACTTCCCCTTGAAGAAAAATACCAATTACTGTCGTCATCCCAAAGAAAACTCCCCTCATGTTTTAAGCCTGCCGGGCAACGATAAAAAAACCTACCATAATTTTTTTTCTGTTCTAGCCATCAAGCGGAACATCCGACCATTTCCGCATGAACACAAAGGTGGTTGAGAAACCATGATGAATTTTTATTGATGATTTTCGTAGCCAAATGATGTTTATATAGACTCACAAAAAAAAAAACCCACACATCACATTCCCGGTTTTTTATTACACTTTTTCTCCCTCCCGCCCAAAACACCACCTATCCACTTTCTCCCTCTTCAACATCTTTTTTGACCAACCTGCCACCTCCTATGGTTAATAAAAGTATGGCCCCCACAAATGAATGAGATAAAGAACACCCACCCATGCCACATCTATATCCAACTGCCATCTGACCCTAATAAAAAAGGCAACAAATTTGTACCGAACATAAAAAAGAAACCAACAAATGCAGTGTCATAGATGATGCATCAACATCACGCCACAATAAAACAAGGAAAAAATAACATTACCACATGCAAGGCCATTCTCATGACTGTTTTGATTAGACCCATCAATCAGATTTTTCGCAACTTTGTTAATATAACAAAAATGATACATAGTCATCCTAGTGTACAATTATGTTCACAACAAAACTAAAAAATATCACAAAAAATCCAAAAAAAACCCAATTACACATAAATATATTTCCACTTTTGTTGACAATGTAGTTGTACACTAGATTGGCAATGTATCCAATATCTTTGAAGAACAACAACCAATAAAGCCACGCCGTACTGAAATCTATTGACCAACTCCGGTTCTTCGCGAACAAATTCTTTTTACTCAACCTCGTTCGTGTTCGGCAAAAACTCGTTTATTTGTTAATCGAACGGACACGATGTCATGTGTGAACATTAGATTAGTGCGCGAACAATAATGTAAGAAACTTTATTTAATTTATTTACATTTACGTATATAATATTTGTAAATTATAATTGAAGTAGCATTTTTTTCCTTGTTCGAACAAACCAATCTCGAACACAATTTTTTGCGGGAAAAATATATGCAAAGAACCCGAATGTGAACATGAATTATAACAAAATAATGAACATAACCAATGTGAACATGAATTATAACAAAATAACAGAGTAGTCATGAGTCTCGTGCATGCGTACAACAACCGTCACAAATATTTTAAAACATGAGTTCACCGTCAAACCACGGTACAAAAGTGACATTCAAACACACACTACACCAACCTAACCTCGAAACGCACACAAAAATACGGGGTTAATGTGAATTGCCATGTATCGCCTTCAACCATTTGCCTTCAACCATTTGCGTAGCGTCCACAAAATCCTCGGCATCCCAATTTTGCATCAAAATTTTTCCGTGGCCTTGAACGATTTGTAGTTCATACGTACGCCCCTCAAACTCCAAAATTGCTCTGAAAGTGTCCGTGGGGTCGGTAAGAATATAATCTCACCAAAAATTAATAGGAATCGGCTGCAATAGAAGGGTAGTTTTAACGTGATGAAGCGGTTGAAAATAAAGTAAGCATAGCGTAACGACAAAGGAGATTAATACACAATTACCAAACGCGCACGTTCCACGTGGCATTTCTTTATTTCTAGTGTATACCGGTAGCGAAGATCCCGCTCCACCTGGTCCTCCCCGTGCACTGTCACTATGAAATCCGTAAAGGACGTGCGGTCGAACCATAAACAGTTGTCGACCATAATGTCCTCACCATGCACAAAGTCTCGCCATCCTTCATCAAAATACACGCGAAAACGATTGCCTCTCAATGTCACGATATGCCTACGACCTTCTCTAGTGGTTAGGGTGCACTCAACAGGTGTACGGTGGCTGTATTGATGGTTTAGACTGTCCGGAAGCTTCTACGGGCCACATTAAAAATTGGAAATGACGATGTATGTGATATAATACTTGGATTTTGATCACGAAATAATACATGAACACGAACAATTGAATTACGCAAACGTACCAATGTTCGTTTTTCCGGATTGACGATGTACTTGAAAAACCGCTGAAAGTACTCCGACATGATGTACGTGCTTTGTGTGAGGTTGCCAATCAAAAATACCCGATTTCAGTGAATGTATCACGAAACCAAAAAAAAAAAAAAAACACTATGACTCACAACAACGGAAATGAGAATGCGAAAGAAAGAGAGAAATATGGGTTGCAATTCCAAAGAAAACAGTAATAACACGGTTGAACGTGGACAACCTCAACATACTACAATAATAGCGCCGAGTATACTGTAATTCCCAAAAAAATCCATTTCAAAATACCGATAGTGAAGCAAGAGTCATCGCTTCGAAATAAATTAATTGGAAAATCAATTCAACCATCTGGCTTTGGGAGGAAGTAGGCCTGTTTTGAAATAGCTATCTCCCACCTTTCCACTTTCTCGTTTTCCCAACACAAGCAAATGGTGGGTCAATCCTCGGTTTTTCCGCCGTCATAGATTGTTTGTTGTATTTCATTTACTGTATCTGATAAATGGTATGAAAGTTGACTTGCGCCCTCTTGCTCAAGAGTAACAAGTACTAGTACGAAATTGAAATTGAAATACAATATATCATTTAAAAAAGGTACAAATTTTATTTCAGTGTATGGATAGGTATATATTTTTTGATTCTCAATGTATTAACTTTGAACATTATTTTTAGTTTTATTACAAAAAAATGGTAATAGAATTTAAAAAAATAATATGGTTTCAGAGTGAATAGTTATTGGATAGTTATAAAAAAATGCTAATACAATTTTACACTTGATTTCTCTCCTTTAAAAAAATGCTAATACAATTTTAGAAAATATATTTTAAGTCTTTTTTAAGTGTATGTAGAAATCTAGTCATATATTCGTAATTTATTAAACATGAAATTATTTTGGAACTTGTAGATAGTGCTCTTAACATGCAATTATTTTGGATTCGCCACTGCAGCTAGTTTTTCAATTGAACTTTCATTGTTTTACCCAATTTCAGTGACAATTTTTTAAGTGGTTGAAATATGGCCGAAAAAAAAATCCAACATAAATTCATACAAAAATAAATATTAGTAATTGAGATATTAATAAAAAAAATCCACAAAAATTTCAATCTAATTTAATTTACTTACCATTGGAATATCCAATGAATCTTTTCAATAGAAACTATACCAATGAAATATCTATTGGTATTTTCTGTGGAATACCTTATTACTGTTGGATTTTCATTATAATTGATGTAGTTGTACATCTTCATATTTTATTGTGTATAATTACAATTTTCTAATTAATATTATTATCAAATAATAAAAAAAGATATTTTGTACATTTTTTAATAGACAGGTGAGTAATGGTACTATATCGATATAAATTCTTGGTAAAAATAATTAATTTTCAACGTATATAGGCATATCATGATTCACTATATATTTTAAATTAATTTGAAGATAATGATTGATAAAAGTACAAATAACTATTGTCTATCACCTTAAACTTACCCTTACAATTAATTAAATAAAAAAATTAACAAGCGTTTAATAACATTTTATTGTTCCTTTTTAATATTTATTAATAAGTGTTACAGCTTAAACGGATTTTTAATATTATTTCTCAAAGTTAATATTTTTTTCTTTTATATTGTTATTTTATATGTTTATATATGTGTATATATATATATATATATAACTTTTTATTTTTCTTAAATAATGATCTAGTTAAATGAATTCTTCTATTTTTCTAGTTTGTTAGATTATGTATATATTCCACGCGTGCATGATTTCGGTAATATTTTTAGGTATCTTCTCTTAATTAGAGTTATCATGTTTTACCAAGATTTATCGTTTTGTTAAAAGATAGGTAAACAAATAGTTGAGAATATTTAGATCTTTTATTATGTTGCTTTTGTTGCATAATTTTTTGTTTAAATAAATTTTATATATTAAAATCATTAGATATGATTACGATTTTCTCATCAAAATTATATTAAAAATAAGGACGTTATTGAAAACAAAAATTCAATATCATTTCAAAACTTTGTTGTTTGGGTTAATGTTGAGTTGATTTTTTAGAAATATTGAAGAAAACGGTTGGGGAGATATGTGGAAGAAACCAAATTCTTGAAGAATAATGGTGTGAATATTGTGGTTGATTTTTAAGAGATGTGGAATGTTTTGTTCATTCAGTTCTATTAAACGAGAATTAGTGTATTAACAATGAATTTTAAAAATATGTCAAATAAAAGAGGGCATTTAGGTACATATTAGTTATTATTATAAAAAATATGTCTAATTTGAGAATAAAAATATGTCAAATAAAAGAGGGCATTTAGGTACATATTAGTTATTATTAAAAAAAATATGGACAATATTGTTGGGGTACATATAAATCGAGAATGAGTATAGGTAAATAATACTAACAATGAATTTTAAATGTGGACTTTAAGATAGAGTTACTTTTTTATGACATGTAGCCGAATTTGAAGTTCGCAATGGTTGACCGATAACCGAAGAACTTTTTTTATTGGAAGTCGGTTCAAATGGTGGTAACAGACCACATTTATTTCGCAATTAACAAGAGTGGTTGTACCGGCTCCCACTCCCCTTTACTCCCGTCACTCTTTTCAACTCACACAACAAACATATTCTTTCAAGGGAGAATAGCCACCGTATCTCGTATTCCCGCACCGGCCGCAACCGCGGCTTTGGCTCATCATTGAGGTAGGTTGCGATCCTTTTCTTGTTCCTTGTCTTAACTGCTATTATGGTTAAAAATTTGTGGATGAAGTGTCGGTGATGTTGGGTTGTGAAGAACTGAGGATGTATAAAATGGGTTTGATTCTATGTTAGTTGTTATAATTATATTTGTTGTGCTAATTTTTTGAAACACCGGCAGTTAACATTACATACATCACCTTCTACATTTTTTTTTCCCTAAAAATGCTACTCCATTTTAAAATTCGAAGGCGAATGAAAAGAGGCAACAGTTATAGAGAAGGTATTTTATATTCGTATTAATAAAAGATAAATAGAATTCATCCGATTTATGTAATTTTATTTTCCAATTGCATTTCATATTGTGTTAATAAGGTAGAATAATCATTGGTTGTTAATAAATAGATTTCAACCTTTTTGATAATTATCTTCAATAGTGTTATGAATAATGATTGGTTTCCAATTTGCACTCATTTTTGTTTTAGACAGCATTCGATGGCAAATAGGTTTGATCCATTCATTGTTACAATTACGGATGCAAACAGTCCGAACTTGGTATGAATACAAACCTCTTTCCTAAGTTTCATTTACAATTGTTATAATACATGTCGCCCCATCGAACAAAATGCATATGGTTTGCATACAGCGGCTGCCCGAGTCAATCTACCATCAGTATACAAACCACGTCACGATAAATTGTACAATAGAAACTAGGGAGAACCGTACTTATGAAGTTTGGTTGGTGAAAGTGGGAGATCGATTGGAATTTCGTGATCGTTGGGACGAATTCGTACGAGCCGAAGATATTCGCGCGGGCTACATTTTGTATTTCGAGCGCAACAGTCTGTATGAATTTTTTGTCAAAGTCTTCACTTGTAATTCAGTTGAACGACCTCCCCAATATCGCTTCTTAGTGGATATGAAGAAAACGCACGTGCAACGGGCACGTTTGGTACGTATGACGTTTTACTTTAAATTTCTAACCAAGAAATGGAACGAAATATTTTATTAATTGTATTTACTATTGCAGGCCATTCCGATGAATTTTTGGAGGGAGCATATCGAACACCAAGTTCATGATACTACGAGAGCAATCTTATTGTGTAAAGAAGGTCGATACAATGTTCCAATAATCAAAGCGCATGGGAAGGCGTTGATGGAACACGGTGATGCGCGTGAATTTATGGACGAAAGTGGAATTGTGGAGGGCATCACATGCGTATTCACCTTAATTGGATATGAGTGTGTTGTTTTCAAGGTACGGTTACTGGATGGTTCCCCTATTTAATCGTGAGAGAGTATTTGGCGTACGAACACCGGCTTTCATGTTTGGACTAATTTTATGTGTTTGAATTCGTAATTGGACCAATTTTAATATATGTAAACAAAGGCAACGTTGCAGGTTTAAATTAATTTGAATGGTCTCATTGCTTTTTTGATTTTCACGGTTGCCTGTGCGTGTAACAACATTTCAATGCATGAAAAGAATGATTTTAAAAAACAAAAAATTGCAATGCTTTTTCCCTTTTCAGAAAAGGAAAAAAACAATTATGTTTTGTGCTAATTTTTCAAACACCGGCCGTTCTACATTTTTGTTCCCAGAAAAAGCTAGTCCGTCTTAAATTTCAAAGGAGAAGGAAAAAAGGCAAGAGTCATCTCGTAATTTATATATCGTGTTAATAAAAGGTATATAGAATTCATTCGAGCTATATTGTTTTTTTCCCAATTGCAGTTCATATTGTGTTAATAAGGTAGATAATTATTTTTTATGCTTCTCTCCACCTGGCTAAAAAAAGGCTACAAATAAAATTGGAATAATTACATGATATAAACAAATATAACAACACATTATAAGGTAGATGCGGGTGATAACTGAAAATTATGTAAAAAACATACAAAGCGTGGTTTAAAATGATAGTAGTGTAGGCCGAAATATCAATTTAAGTGTCCTTAACAGAATGAAAGGTGTGTTCGGGTTACATTAATACAAACGATTTTCGTTCTATCTTTGATTCGCCCACAAGGCTTGCGCTATCGTGTCACACAAGACACAATGGTCACCAACGTTGGGGTTCGAGTTATTATTATTAGACATAAAAGCAAAGGTATGATCTTGAGGATCATGTCGGCGTACGTATTCTGGGTTTCTGAATTCAGGCGGCATGTTTTCTAGTGGTTCATGAATCCGAATAAAGTTGTGTAGAACACAACATGCTATTACTATGTCTGTTTGGGAGTCGACTGTGTAGTTGGGCATCAGCCCCTTTATGATGGGAAACTTCCCTTTTAGCAAGCCGAAGCTGCGTTCTATGACATTACGGACAGTGGCATGTCGTATGTT